CTGCGCTGGCTGCGCGCCGACTTCCGCCGTGACCTCTGCCCGCCGCCGCCGCCGCACGTGCCGCTGGCCTTCGGGCCTCCGCCGCCCCGGGCTCTGGCCGCGACGCGCCGCGCCGTTCCCCTTGCTGACACCGAGTCCACGCCGGACCAGGACGCCGAGGCCCGCTGCGCCCTGTGCGCGCGTGCGCTGCAGGTGAGAGGTGCTCCAGGGGAGAAGCTCCACCTGGTCTCCAAGTAGGGGCGGGTCTAGGATTCGGACGACTCAGGATCAAGCTGTTTCTTGACGGACTGGGCAGCCACTCACACCCCTGCCCTCTCTGCCCCCATTCCTCCACACCAGTACCCTCCTGCTCAGGGCCTTTGCCCTTCCCCTTTGACTGGAAGGTTCTTCCCTAGACCTTCAGTCTTGATAGAATGCCGCCTCTCCTTCTCCCTGAGGTCTTCCTTGGCTCTCCATCTAAGATTGCCGGTCCTTCTTGTGCACTTCCCTGCCAGCCTTTCTTCTTCTTCTTCTTTTTTTTTTTTTAAAGCCTCAACACTTATTATTGTCTGACATACTATGTATTTTATTTATATTATCAGGCTCTCCCACCCCCCCATACTGGACTCCACAAGGGCAGTTCTTGTTCACTACTATAAACAGGGTCTGGCACAGACCAGGTGGCCAGTAAATATTTAATAGATTAACTGGGCCTGACTTCTGTTGAGCTCTCAGTGAATGTAAGGAAGGTGAGTACTTGCCATTCGGAGACTGAGTGACCCACCTGAAATCACATAGCCTGTAAGGAACTACGGGTCTGGTTGCGGTGGCCATGCTGTTATATAATCACTGCTAATTCTCAGGGAAAACTGGCCAACTTAGTCCCTGTGAGCAAGTACTGTAACTTCCTTCTCTGTGCCTGTTTCTTTATCCATAAAATGCAAATAATAGCAGTCCGTGCCCCATAGGGTTGTCGTATGTAAAGCTCCTGGAACAGTGGTCCACAGAACTCTTCATGCGTGTTAGCTACGTCATTACCCCGTTTTCCTCTTACCTGCCTGCCACCTCTGACAGGATGAAGAGGACCCTCTGTGTTGCCCCCACCCTGGCTGCCCGCTAAGGGCCCATGTGATCTGCCTTGCAGAGGAGTTCCTGCAGGAGGAGCCAGGGCAGCTTCTGCCCCTAGAGGGCCAATGCCCTGGGTGAGTCCAGCACCCCTACCCTAGCCTGGTTTAGCTCTGGGAAGATGGTACCCAGTTGTCCAGGTCCAGGCCTGGGGCAGCTGAGCCCTCATCTTGGCACCCAGGGCCTGGCCTGGAGCCCTGTGATGCCTGACTCTGTATCTCCCACCAACTGCACCCCTTGGTAGCTGTAAGAACTCACTGCTGTGGGGAGATCTGATCTGGCTGTGCCAGATGGGCACCGAGGAGGAAGAAGAGGACTTGGAATTAGAAGAGGTGAGAAGTGGCTTTGGCCCCAGCCTCTCTACCCTACTTCATCCTCTAGGCTTCTTTTGACCAACACTGTTGTCCCCACAGGAACACTGGACAGACATGCTGGAGACCTGATCCTCAGCATCCCCAAACCTCCACCCACTCCTCCTCTGTGCCACCCCCTGCGGTTCTGGGCCGTTTTTACTTGAGTACAATAAAAAGTCAGAGCTAAGGGTACCACTGGTGTTTGCCGGGGGCGGGGGTGGGGGGG